GAAGCGGGCATGAGCCCATCTTCCTGATGAGAAAACTGAAGTATAGAGAGGTTAGGTGTCCTCTCTGTACAGCTACTAAGGACAAAGCCAGGTCCGGCTGCCTGTTGTGTCCTTAGCGACTCTGCCATACAGCGTCCCAGGCTCCTCCCTCCCATACGGGCACAGAGCTGGGAAGGGGCAGGCAGGGGTGGCCGTGCACAGGGCAAGGGCATGGGGCCACACCTCCCCCAGCAGCACGCAGCTGCCAGCTCATAAGCCGGGAGTGTCCGGTCTCTGGGGGTGTGTAACTCCATCCCCCAGCTGCCCTGACACCTGAGCTGGCTCTTCTGACGACTGCCACCTGGTCTAGCCTGATCCGGAAGACTCGGGGCAAAAGCAGAGCCGAAGCGACACATGCTGAACAGGCCCAGGAGGAGGCTGTGGATGCAGAGACGCAACCCCAAGTCAGAGCAAGCTGAAGGGGCGCCCACAGTAACTGCTCTCCCTCCTGAAGGCCAGTGCTTTCTCCTCCTGGGGTCTGCAGCTGGAGAGCAGAGGCAGAGACGCACCCTAAAGGGACAGGCTGGCTAGGGCCCAGCAAGGGAGGGGAGTGGTGGGGCGGGCAGCCCTTTCCTCCGAGCAGGGAGGAGGCAGGGAGGAAGCCGTACGCAGCAGGAGCCAGCAGTGCCCAGCAGTGCGTGGCTGAGCCAAGGTGGGGCGCCAGGGTGAGGCAGTCCCGCCTCCCAGTCGTCCCCTGGGTCACTCAACACAACCTGTACTTCACCGACGGTCCAAATGTATACTGAGCACCCACTCACTGCTGGGCACTGGACCCCTCGAAAGACCACCCCCACCCCCACCCCTTTTGGGTCTCTGCTCAACAGTCCCATTCCTGCTGCCACCCTATGTGTCTCCCCTGATTAACGCTTTTCCATGTACTCAGCTACTCAGCACCCCCTGACAAGGATGTCTTCCTTATTTGTCTATTATCTGAAGGTGAACACCATGAGGGAAGTGTTTCTGCCTCTCCGGCTACCCCCAGCCCCTCGATGGTGGCCGGCACATGGAAGATCTCCCAAAGCGGGAGCCCCGATGAGATGTGGTGTCTTGGGTACACGGCAGGATCTGGCCATCAGGCTCCTCCTCTCTCCCCCACCCGCCCTCCCAGTGCTGGCGGCAGGAGCAGGGTCCCTCCCGGGGTGGGAACACGGCCCCGTTGTGTGCAGGGCAGCAGATGTGTGGGTCGGGAAGCCTCACAAGGAGGCACAGTATTCACACAGAGGGAGTCTGTGCACACTTCACAGGGCCTCGCTTTTCCTACCAGGCACAGCAGCCAAGCCTCGTCCCGGGAGGGGATGTCAGGCTCCGGGGACCCCGTCTGCCTCCCTGGCCGGTCCTGAGTGGGCTGCAGGGGTGGGAAGAGCTTCAGGGTTCTTCTCCGTAGCGTCGGAATCTACGCGGGGCGACTGCGACACAGCTCAGCTTCTAGGGTTTACAGTCTCAAGGCGGCTCCACACAGCGGGGTATCCTCACAATAGCCTGCCAGGTGGCTGGGGGGAAATTCAGAGGGGAACCCAGCACTGCCATGTGGGTTCTCTCCAGCCTGCCGGCCTGAAAAATAGGCTTCTTCTGGCGCTGGTACAGCCACCTAGGCCAGAACTACCCCGGCAGCTCTGACAACAGCAAATTTAATCCCTCACGGCTGGCGGGATCAATTGCCATGGAGAGAAACAGCTTGGAGTGGAATGGATTGATCAGAGGCCCCGATGCCTGGGTGGAAAACCCAGAGCTGGAGAGAAGGGTCCTGGGGTGGGAGGGAGGACAGGTGGTGACTGTCTGGGGATCTGTTTGCTTATCTGACTCCCGGGGAAAAGAGGGAACAGTTCCCTTGACCTTTCAGTGGTTGGGATGGGGGGGCCAGGGAGTGGTTCTCCCACTGCAGGAAATCAGGACAAGAACAACAGTGGGGAGTTCCGGGGCAGCCGTGAGACCCCAGAAATGCTCAGGGGGACTTTGGTGGGAGCTGGACGGTCTGCAGAGACAGGTTTCTTAGACCGGGGAGCAGGAGACAGCGAACGGTTTTACGGGCATTCAGGCCACTGCTGCCCTTTCTGTGCTGGAAAAAGCCAACAAGTCCACACTCGAGGCCCTGGGCAGCCACCTCGCCTGCAACCCTCCACTTGCTCCACCCAGTGTTTGGATGGTGAGCGGCTGGACCTTCCGAGGGGCAGAGGCGGGTACAAGGCGGGTACAGGCTAAGGGATGGGACGGCTCCGGCATGCTCTGGAGACAGAAGCAAACTCGCTTTCACCGGGAAGCTGGTAAAAGGTGTATTCCATGCCGCAACGACAGCAAACTAGGCTAACTTAATAATAAAACGATTTTTATCAAGTTCGGCCATGGGCCAAGCTGCGTGCTGAGCACTTTACCAGTATTACCTCATTTAATCTCCTAAGTAACCTAGGAGGAGGCAGATGAGGAAAATCGAGACTTAAAGAAGGTAATCACTTGCCCAAGGTCACAATAATGAAACGTCGACCAAGTGCTTTTGCCCTGCCAGGCACTGTTCTAAGTGCTTTGCATATTGACTTGACCCTCACACAACCCTCCCTCCCTCATTCACACGGAGAGAGAATTTGCAGGACTAGACCCAGGCTGCCCGCCCGGCTCTGGAAACTGTCCTCTCGGCCACCACTCCACCACTGGGTCCTGGAGGAGGGAGGCTGAGCCAAGGAAGCAGTGCGTCAACAGACGTCCTTCTTTGTCCCGCCACAGGAACCCTGCACCCCCTGGCCACTACCGCTCAGGGAGGACCTGGCCCGACTCCAAGTCAGAACACACACTCTGGATCAGGGATTCGTTCAAGCATCGGGGCGGCACCGAGAAGCCCCGGGCTCCCCATGGCTCCCCACTCCTGTGAGCAAGGGCATCTGACTCTGGGCTCTGACCTTCATCTCTGCTTACTCTGGCTCCCTCCCAGGGCAACTTCTGTCCTGCAGCCAGGACAAGCGAAGCCTGGGGACGCAATCCAAGGACCAGGCCGGAGAGAGTGGCCAATGGCGCCCGTCCCTGGATGAGCAACTGGCAGGGACACGCACCAGGAAACATCCCAGCAGGTGCTGGTTCGGGAAAGAGGAAACCCTCGAGGTGGCCAGGCCAGGACCGGAGCCACAGCAGGTGGTACCTGAGAGGCTCGGTACCTGGTGTGGACTCCAGACGGAAGCAGGGCCTTGAGGCGTGGATGTGGTCAATGAAGCCAGAGGACCAAACCTGGAAACCCCACTCAGTAGCTGCTCACAGCAACCCAGTCCCTGCCCCATCAGCTGTGGGGCTTCACAAAGAGCAAAGGGGACCCCAGGAAGTTTGGGGAGAGCCACACAGCCAAGGAGGGTAGTGGGGAGGAGAGTCACTGAGGACAGAGCAAGAGTGTGGGCAGCTCACAGAGCCACAGCTCCTCAGCCCGACATTCACCAACGTCAGTTACACTATGATTGTTTTAAAATTTTTTTTTATTATTTATTTTTTGAGAGAGAGAGACAGCATGAGCAGAGGAGGGGCAGAGAGGTAGGGAGACGCAGAACCCGAAGCAGGCTCCAGGCTCCGAGCTGTCAGCACAGAGCCGGATGCAGGGCTGGAACTCACAAACAGTGAGATCGTGACCTGAGCCGAAGTCGGACACCCAACCGACTGAGCCACCCAGGCGCCCCCAGTTACCCTGTTCTGCAAACCCCCAGCCCTCGCTCAGCAAGGGGCTAAGTGGCTGCAGAGGACGCAGCCCTGGCTGTCCTCTGTGAGGTCAGACATCCTAAAGACCCCTTCGCCAGGAGACCCCGCGCCTGGGGACAAAGACAGGTCTTCTCACCGGCCCCACCGGTGATGCTGCTGCACCCCGGCCCGCACACACACTCACATCATCCCATCTCACTGGGGAGCCTTCGCTTCGGAAACTTTCCCTTTCCAGACGGAGGCTTCCCCATCTGGGAAGCGGGAATGAAAACCCCTGGGTCTTCTAGGATGCAAACATGCACAAAGCCTGTCCGAACACCTTGCTTTGTCGCAGCCACGCACTTCCCCCTTTTCTTCCTCACAGGGCCAAACAGGTCCCAGCCTCCAGGGGCATCTCCCCTCACCCAGCTCTCCACTAAAATGCTTCTTCCCGGAGGATCTTCCCCAACCATCCTCTCCGGAGAGCAGCCTCCCATTTACTTCCCCGAGGACATTTATTACCCGAAACCGTCTTGTTTACCACTTAGTCTCAGCTTTTACCTCTGACCCCCAAACAGATGTCCACGGCACAAGGGACTCTGTGAGTCCCGCTCCCTGCTGTATCTCCAGTCCCCAAACCCGTGCCTGGCGGTCAATAAATCTTTATTGGATGAGTCAGAGTGAACACTTGAATGAACAAAAGCTCTTTCACATGTACTTTCTGGTTAAATTCAAGGCAGCGAGTGAGTGTCTTTCTCCAGCTAATAATTTAACCTCTAGTTAAGTAGTAAAAGCAACTATAAAACAATTTCTATTCTTAAAATCGGTCCTGAAATGAATCAGACTCAAGCCTCCTTGTGCCGTTATCACGACACTTCACAGAGGCACTCAGTGGGGCACAAAAACGTCCTTCAAAGAGCCAAGGCACGGGGACAGGCAGAGAGGTGGGTTGCTCTCCGAAGAGTTGTTTGAAGGACAGCAAGACCTCGAGACCTCACTCAAGAGCGTTTGCCTTCTCAAAGGCCATCTCAAAGGCCACTGCCGCACGCAAACACAGGACTTCTGCAGCTGGGGCGGCGCTGGGATGTGGTCACATGCAGAGCAGGGAGGCGCCCGGCAGCTTGCTAATTCTGGCAGATGGGAAGTCAGTGACGCAACACTGTCCTACCCTGATTCCTTCAACCGCTCAACTGGCATCTCTCGTCATTCACATGCCCCAGTCCCCGCTCAGTCCTGGCCCTGCGATCACCCAGTTTATGAAACTGCAGGGCCCTGTTGACACCTACCCCTCCTGACGGCCGGCAGGAGCTTCCCTGTCACTGGGACGCAGCTAACAAGTGGCAGCTGGACCAACGCCACTTCTCCCCAGGGTCCTGCAGGTGACAGGCAAAGAGGAGGATGACGTAGCCTCGAGTCCCGCCTCCGTAGGCTGCTTCTGAATGGACAGGGAGCCAGCCTGGGCGGCTTCCTTCCTCGGGCCCTCGTGATATCACTCCACAGACCTGTCTGTCCCACAAGCCAGGGGGCTGAGTCACCACCCCCTGGCAGGCGAACCCACTACAGTTTGAGGAGTGTGTTTATTTCAACCAGAGGAAACAAAATCCTGCCTGGACTCAACTTTTCTCCACGGGCTCAGTCCTTCCCTGTGGTGAGTGCCTTGGGTGGCTTAGGTCTCACCAAGTGACAGCATCAAAGAAGGGAGACCTGCTGGCCCCTTGGCCTCGGTTCAGCCACACACAGCAAGCGTGTCTCCTCAGCGCTAGGACGGAGGAGGAGCCAACAGGTCCTGCCTGAGGATCTCGGGGTTCAGCAGGTAGTACTCAGGGGCTCAGAGGGGAAAGCAATGCGATCCCTGCTCCCGTGGACCGGAACGCACGCCCACCCTCACAGCAGCCACGGACAGGGGGACAGGGGGACAGGGAGACGGCGTTTAGGTCAGGAGAACCGGGGGAGCATAGCAAGGCTTGTGCAGGGGGGTTAAGCGGCTGACGGCTTCACCAACGAGGGCATATTTGAGTCCGCCCTGAGATCAAGGGAGGAGGAAGGCCAGCAGCGCAGCCCGGCTGGCAAAGGCATCTCCACTCTTTGCGCCAAGCATCTCAGGTTAACAGACTGGGTTTCCCTGACCCTCGGCCAAACCGGCTCCGACTCCCGAGTTTCCACCGCAGCAGCCGCGGGACTGAGCAAACCAGTGCCCAGTTGGGTTTCATTCACAAACGGGTCCGGCCTGGGGCAGGCTGGGATGCTGGCCTGGGGGCAAGGTGCTGGCTCCCCCCAACCTCGGGGCCTCCTCCCGGAGAAGGGGAAGTGCTTCTGGAGTGTGGGCACTTGCAGGCTCATTCTCCCAGGAAGACGCTGTTCCCCACCTTCCCGTGTCCGCCCACCCCTGCAGCAGATCGGCCTCTCTTCCCAACAGCCCTCGCTCCCCCTTTACAGACGGCTACACTAGGGGCCCAGGGACAGAACCCTACAGGGACACTGGGTTTTATTTCTGCTTTTCTCTACAGCAAAACCGCTACCACACGGCATTTCCTCTGCACCAGGCAGTCCTGCACTGTGAAGTCCCAAGTGCCCCCAGCCGCCCTGGGACGTGTGCAGGATTCTATCTCCATTCTGCAGGGAAGTCCTGCTCTGAACCGCTCTGCCAAAGCACACCTGTCCTCCTCGCACTTCTCCCACCTCCTGCACGGAGACAAAAGCTCCAGGAGAGGACACGGGTGGTCTTTGCCTCCCTGTGGCACACCCCAGGGCACCAGGCATAAGCCACACAGTCAATGGTCCTCACCAACGTGCCACGGGGACAAATGGCCATCAACAAGAGGAAGGGGAAAGGGAAGGACCAGCAGCCCCATCCCCACCTCAACTTGGACCAACAGGTCACATGACACCCCGAGAGCACAGGGAGATTCTGGAGGATTCTGGCAGCCCAGGGAGTCAGGAAGTCAGCTGCCTACCTGAGCATCACCAAGGGGAGGGCATGTTGGTGTGAGACAGCTGTGCACGTGGCAGGAAGGGCATAGCTCACCACCCATGACCCACCCCAGCTGACTCGGGACTCTGGCGAGGGGGCAGCACCCTAGGTGGGCTGTGTGCCTGTCTCTTTCCCTCCTTTTCAGAATGCCTTGGCTCACCTCCGTTCTTCAGCCATTCAATCTGTCTGCACCAGATGCCAGGCCCTGTGCCCACATGTGGGCACCTCATGCCCCCCACGACGGTGGGGGGACCGAAATGGGAGAGTCCTGGCTGTCCCCCACATGGTTTAGACTCCTTCCCAAATTCACAGGCCAGGGGACATTTTTTTGGTAAACACTTAAATGAGGCCCAAAAAGGGGTTAGTGACTTAGAGAGCGTTAGAATACCAGTGTTTAGGGGCGCCTGGGTGGCTCAGTCGGTTAAGTGTCCGCCTCTTGGTTTTGGCTCAGGTCATGGTCTCCTGGCTCGTGAGTTCAAGCCCCGCTACAGGCTCTGCACTGACAGTATGGAGCCTGCTTGGGATTCTCTCTCTCTGCCCCTCCCTCTCTCTCTCTAAAAATAAATAAATAAACTTTACAAAAAAAAAAAGAGGGGCACCTGGGTGGCTTGGTCGGTTAAGTGCCCAACTTAGGCTCAGGTCATGATCTCCCAGCTTGTGGGTTCAAGCCCCACATCAGGCTCTGCGCTGATAGCTCAGAGCCTGGAGCCTGCTTCGGATTCTGTCTCCCACACTCTCTGCCCTTCCCCCACTTGCACTCTTTCTCTCAAAAATAAATAAACATTAAAAAAAAATGTTAAATACCACAGCGTTCATAAGGAATAAAAAAAGACACGAAAGTGTATGTGCTTAACTGCCTGCCAGTCAGAGGAAACTCCACAGAGGGGGTGATGGGCACACGTAGGACAGGAAGTCAGGGCAGAGAGACCAACTTGTGCAGTATGGGAGTCGGAAACAATATTGCGTATTTGGGAACGGCCCTCAAACTCCAACTCAAGTGGAGATTCTAAAGAAGGAGATTCTGGGAGCCTGGGTGGCTCAGTGGGTTAAGCATCCGACTTCGGCTCAGGTCATGATCTCATGGTTTGTGGGTTCCAGCCCCACATCAGGCTCTGTGATGACCACCCAGAGCCTGGAGCCTGCTTCGGATTCTGTTGGTCTCTCTCTGCCCCTCCCCCACTCACACTCTGTCTCACTCTCAAAAATGGATAAACATTAAAAAAAAATTTTTTTTAATTAAAAAAAAGAAGGAGACTCTAAAGAATTCCTGGTTAGGGGACTTTAAAAAAAGAAAAAGAAAAAGACCAATGCCTGGGGCTTATCCAGCACTTTCATACTGACATTTTAAAGACACCCCCAAGTGACTCTAACACTGGGCAGCCCTAACAGGTGGTCTCTGGCCATGTGTGGTTAACTGAGCACCTGAAGTTGTGAGCCCAAACTGATGTGCTGTGTCCAACACACAACAGATTTTGAAGACTTAGAAGGAAGATTTAGAAGAGGGGTGAGCGCCTGGGTGGCTCAGTCACAGTTGAGCATCTGACTCATGATTTCGGCTCAGATCACGATCTCACAGTTCATGAGTTCAAGCCGCACATTGGGCTCTGGGCTGGGTGCTCCGAGCCTTGCTTGGGATTCTCTCTCTCTGCTCCTCCCCTGTCGTGCATGCTTCTCTCTTGCTCTGTCTCAAATATAAATAAATTTTAAATTAAAAAAAAAAAAGAAGGAGGGGCGCCTGGGTGGCTCAGTCGGTTAAGCATCCAACTTTGGCTCAGGTCATGATCTCACAGTTCGTGAGTTCCAGCCCCACGTTGGGCTCTGTACTGACAGCTGAGAGCCTGGAACCTGCTTCAGACTCTGTGTCTCCCTCTCTCTCTGCCCCTCCCCTGCTTGTGCTGTCTCTCGAAGTCTCAAAAATAGTAAAACATTTAAAAAAAAAAAAAGAGGAAAAGAATGGAAAATATCCCATTCATAAGTCTTACAGTGATTACACTGTGAAATGGTTCCATTTTGGATACATCGGGTTAAATAAAATACACGATTAAGATGAATTTCACCTGTTTCCGTTTACTTTCCAACGTGGCTAAAGGAAATCTAACATGACATGTGAGATTCGTGTTCTGTTGCTACTGGGCGCCGCTGCTCTAACATGATCCAGGGCCCACGAGTCCTGAAGGTCAAAAACGTTACTCTTCACAAGATTTCGATTCCCCTGGGAGCTGCTGAGGGGATGGGTCACTGACCTGGAAGACAGGCCCTAAGAACTGTTTTCTGCCTGCTTTCCCCCCACACACTGCCCTCACAACTAGAAAATCCCCAGCACCGGGATAGTCTTAGCCCCCCACTTAACACTCCCCCACCAGGCTTGGCTCACTGAGCAGGGTGGCCCCTCGCTGTCCTGACCTCAGCGATCTTGCAGAGGCTTTAGCCACAGAGCAGCACAGGGACTCACAGACAAGGAATAAGCAAATCTGGAGTTTAGCATTTCCTATCTGCTGAGTCCTCATCCATGATACGCCTCAAAGACAGGTTTCCTCTCTAGTGGAAGTTCTGAACTAGTTCTCAAATGTTAAATCTTTTTTTTGGGGGGAGGGGTGGGGAAGGGAGGAAGACAGCTGGCTATTTGCAGAGCACTGCCCCATGCGTTTTGCATTCTGGGTGTATTAGCAGCCTGTTAACCGCTGTAACAAATCGCCACAAACTCAGTGCCTTCAAACAACACAAATGTTTATCACCTTACAGTTCCGAAGGCCAGAAGCCCAAAACAGGTCTTCTGGAGCTAAGATCAAGGTGCCAGCGGTGCTGTATTTCTTTCTGGAGGCTCTGTACGCGACTCCACTCCTCGCCTTCTCCAGCTTCTCCAAGACACCCACCGTCCTCGGCTAGGGGCCCCTTCTTCCATCTCAAAGCCAGCCAGTACTCCTCTCTGCAGACCCTCCCTGCCACCTCCTCTCCTGCCTCCCTCTCCCACCTTTAAAGGCTCTGGGCCCACCTGGCTAAACCCAGGCTAGTGAGCCTATTTTAAGGTCAGCTGATGAGCATTTTCTCACCAAGTACTGTAACAGATTCACGGCTTCCAGGAATTAGGATGTGGCCACCTTCGAGGGGCGGCCTACCACAGTGTTTCTTTATACCTTAACACAGCCATAGCAGACAGGTGGAATTATCTCCATACAGATGAGGAGACAGATTCAAGAGTTAAGCAGCTTGCCCAGGGATACCGTCTGTCAGTGCTTTCCATGACATGCCACCTTTGTAACGCCACAGGCTATTTTCAGGTTCGGAGTGCAGGCATACAGTACTCTGTACTGAGAACGTTACAACAACGAAAAGCCATTACTACAGCGTCGTCTCCATTTTGAAAAGGGGTTTTATCACCAAGAGGGCTAAAGTCGTGGGGAA